GTCTGTACAATATGTTGATTTTCCTTGTATACACTGTATGTGTGTCTGTCTGGGGGTAAGTGGTGCACATTGCTACTTCATTGACCTCCAGTAAAGAAACTGACCCTCTTAGTGCTTAGCAGGCCACTTGTGAGAGGAAGAAGCTTGTTGACCAATCGCTGCGGTTAAAAGAGAAGAGAGAGCTTTAGAGGCGTTCACATAGTCGCCTTGACGACCAAGAGAAGCCCAAAGAACTTCATGGCACCAGATCCAGTTCAGGTTGTACAGAATGAAACAAACTGCCCATTTAGGACACACACACATGGCCAACAGAACCGTTGCCATACAAGAAGCCCTGTCAAAACTGCCCACCCTCTTCTTCATGTAGACTGCATACTAATTCAACATTATGTGCCACCAATCAACTCCACTGAGTGCATTCACTTTCACAAAGCCTCTACCTTTGGATCTTTTCCAAAAGGCTTAATGTCAAATCCAGGTGGAGGGTAGGATAAGCCAGTTTGATGGAGAGCTGGCTGATTCTGAGACTGCTCTTACAAATGGCTACTTTCTCAATAAACGAAGCCAAGAGGTTTCTCTCATTGTGCGGCATGAAGATCTAGTTAAATTTATTTTAGCATGATGGCATCATGTTCAAACAGCAATCTGTGTACTGTTACAAACTGCATATATGCTTTTTAAAATTAGCGAGCTGTAGGATATGCATTGAGTCATTCTCAGCTTCAGACCACAAAGTCATGGTATGTAGTCATGGCATGTGTTGGTTGTTCTGAATGGTACAATTTCCTCTCCAGAGGGCATGCGGAATAGGTATAACTGACTGATTACTTTTATTCATATGAGGCTGCATGTCAGTAAATTCATCACAGAAACTATTCAGGTGAACAATGCTAAAATCGTAGCATTAAATCTAATTTCAGGCACCGCTTGAAATGTTCCTGGAACATTCTCAGAGATACAATGTTTAAAGTGGCACCACGCCGCAGAGATACTGGTGCTCAGAAAGAGGCTGAAGGGTCCACGTTTATCTTGACTTCACTTAGCATTTCGGCTCTCTCTCTCTGCAGAGAGGGTGGAAATGAAAAGGTAATCCAGGCCCCACAGGGCCGGTAGCAGGTGTTGGAAGGGAAAGCATTCCAACTCCTGCTGCTAACACACTCAATGGCTCTCAGTGGAGAAAATGCTTTCAGGAACTGTGCACTCACTTCCCTTGATTTACTCTGCCCGTTAGATGGAAACCTTTTTACAACCCTACTGCAGAATTAAGGACAGAGACTTTAAAATCTACTTCTTCAATAAAAGCAACACACCAAAAAAAAGAAAATAAAAAACCTTTTGAAGGACGGGGGACCTTTTATTGGTTTTAAACTCAAGGTCAAATTATGAGGTTCGCACATTGGTCAGAATTTTGGATGGAAAAGCAGCAATATAATGTCTATAAAGTCTATCCAGCACATTTCAGAGTTTGCCATTAACGGAGTTCAGGTGGACAAAAAAACAAAACATGTCCTGTTTTATAGACATTATAGGACATGTCCAAACTTCACACAGAAAATTGATTTGATAAAATACCAGCAAGAGGCAAGGACAGATGGTCCTGCAAAGGCCACCATTCGAATACCTCATGGTATAGCTTTTAATTACAATTAATTAAAATCAGCTTGAAATGAAAATTCACCCCATCTATTTTATAAATGCATACTGTATTCTACATCTTATTGTGAACAGTTTATCCATGCATATGTTTCATCCTAAACAAAATTTTAACGTTGTAATTTTTAATAAAAATGTCATAATGTCACCTGGACCTTCTGGTGAAAACGACAGATTTCTCTCTGGTGACATACAGGACTTCTCCAACTTAGTCCACTTAAATCCACCTTTACAAGCTCACATTTATCTGCCCTTAACTTTTGAGTTCAACGCCCACATCTCAAAATCCAATCAATAACCAATGTATAAAACAAGTCGCTGCCCCCCCAATTTTTTTTTTCTTTCTTGACAATCTGTTACACTGTACAACACAATATGGATGAAAAGATCTGCTGCTGCTTCAGTTTCATCACAACCTTCACGTTTTCCAAAAAATGCAATCTTAAAACTCCAGCTTACAATTGAAAGTACAATATATTTTTTTGCAAATGCAACAAAAACAAAAAAGTGAAAAGTATGATATCTTACATTCTTAGCCATTTTGTATTTATTACACGATTATGTGATTTGTATTAACCTTGTTTTGAATTTTTATATTTCGCCTATACAATTAATATTTTCTACCTAAATCAGTGTTCCATTTGCAGTGTGATGTTTCAGGGTGTCAGGCCAGAGTGGGCCCCACAGCACAAGGCCTGTGGCAGTCAAGCCCGGGCCATAATCCATCCATGGTATGATGAGAAAACATGCTCACCTGAAACAGCTCAGTACATATTATCATTGTCAGTTCAACTACTTCTGCCCTGTCGATGCCAACCAGCCTCAGGGAGATGGGCATAACCACATCAGGATGGTGCATTCAATAACAGCATGGCATCTATTTGAGTTTGTGTACAAATACAAAACATGTTTTAGAGAGAGACGCCAAAGCAAATTTATTTTATACCATTTCTATCCTATTTCAGAATTAAAATGATCAAAAAACAATTTATACTTTAAACACATTTTCTGCTGTGCCCATACACTCACACCAGCACCACAAAAACAACTGTTCATAACAACCAAAAAAAAAAAATTATAATATGGGCAATACGGAATGTCGCAATTATTTACCTTTACATTAATAAACGTAATAAAATTGTACAAAGGAGATCTACTAATTTCTTAAGAATAAATATTAAACACTTGCAGTAAACTTATGAATAGTTGCGGCCTGCCAAATATATCATTATATTGATGATATTAACATAAATAAAATAATTTTGTTAACATCTTGCACCAAAATACAGTTTGTTAAAGCATTAGGTATCACTAAAAATAATGCTGCATGTGTTCTATGTATTAATATAATTATTAGTCTAGATTAATGATAATTTATAAACATATGATTACTGTTTTAAATGTTATTGTAATTTATGTTTGTTCATAATACATTTGTTTTAATTTACACAACTTGAAATGTTAAATGTTAGTTCATGATAGTGTTAACCAATTGAACCTTCATTTTAACACATCACATATCTGTATACAAACATATCCTACTCTAAAATATCCGGTTTGATTCCTAAAGCATCACATTTCTGCACTACAAAACAGCAAACAACTTTATCCAGTTCAAAACAGCAAACAATGTATTTTAGACTGTCTGTACTGATAGACAATAAGCCAAACTACAGGTAACAGGCATGCAGTGTCTTTTAATCACTACCCTTGTCCTTCTTTTCCCCTCTCTCCCTCCGTTTACAGAGTATCTCGACTCTCTCTCTCTGTCCCTCTGCATCTTGACACAGCACACTGAGCTTAATCGCACATAATTGGGTGGGTGGGACAGTGGGCCGGCCCAGGCTTTGTGTGCAAAGGGCAAGTGGTCAAGTTAATGGAGCCCTTGTAGTGAACAGGGAGCTCTCTCCCTCTACTGGGACAGAGGGAGGGGACAACCGGACCGCTTTCAAATCTCAAAAGACAGAGTTGGGTTCCTTTTTACCCCTCCTCCTCTCTCTCTCTCTCTCTCTCTCTTTTCCATAGACTGACTGACAGGATTATCTGCATAGCGACTCTACAGCTGAGCTTCAAGTTGGCTATCAGAGCATGGGAAATGAAGAGGCCTAGAGTGACAGTGAATTGAGGCACATGCCATCCAATAGTCAAGTGACATTATAGGACATATAGTCAGGTCCAGAAGTGAGAACACTAGAATTTTTTTTTTTTTTCTGATTTAATACAAATATTTTCATAAATATATTAAGCATAACAATTTGAGTAAAATTGAATGTAATTGAAAAATTAACTTGATAATATCTCAGTATTTGGTTCTAACAAAAAAAAGTTCCAAATAGCATTGTTCTGCTTATTTAATTGTTGATATTAGAGCAGAATCTTAAATATTTCAGTTTGATTTTACTTCATAACTTAAATATTATATGATTTTACTTCATATACTTACTTTATTTCCAGGTTTAAATGGGGGGGGGGGGGGGGGGGGTTAATTTCTACAATTGATGCATTAAATAAACGAAAACAATTTTGACATTAATCATTATAACAATGAGCCATCACACCACAAATCAATTACACATTATGTGACACAAAAAATTTGCAGGACACAGAAGAATTCAAAACAATGATTTAATCACAGTCGTTACAAGCACCTGCAGTGTCAGTGGGAAACAATCACTTTGGACTCATCTGTGTTTTGTACAAATGTAATCACAGTGCAGAAGCACCCAGCCCTGAACAATTCACAACAAACCAAAGAGCTCTGAATGAGGTGTCAGCAGCTCACCACAAGGAGAAAACAACAGTGTGGGGAAAAAGGGCTATAGTTTAGAAAAGCCGTGTTTCAAAAAAACAAAACAAAAAACTAAGATTTATTTGTTAAAATGCATAAAAAGCTTGAGGGTTTAATATTTAATATTTGGGCATAAAATAATATTCTTCTGAATGTAAACCAAAAAACAACCGTATACCCCTTGATTTACAAAAACAGAACTATTGAAGCTTGTTTCCGCCATGAGATAAAAAAACAAACAAAAAAACAAGATCATGATGACATTTTTTTTATATAATCCAGACTTTATATAGAGTTAAAGTGTATATCTTGTAATTCTAAGTTTGTATCTCGAAATTCTGAGAAGAAAAGTCTGAATTGTGAGATTTAAACCTGTCAGAATTGAGTCAGAATTATGAGATAAGTCATAGTTACCTTTTTTATTTTTTATTTTGCAGTGGAAAAAAACAACAACTGCAGGATGTAAATTCAGTGTTCAGAGGAAAAAAAGTCAGAATTGCGAGATGAAAACTCATAATTGCAAGATGTAAAAAAAAAAAAAAAAAGTCTGAATTGCGAGATTAGTTGCGTTTTGTATTTTTTTTTCATGGCGGAAAGGGGTCTGTATACAGAACTCATATGAATTGTATCCATTAATTAAATTTAAATGTGAAAATCGTCATCATTTATTCACCCTCATGTCGTTTCCAAACACACAGTATTTTCTTCCTTCCATGGAATCTAAAAAGAGAAGTTTAGCAGAGTGTCAATGCTGCCCTTTTCCATTCAATGAAAGTGGATGATGACCAGAGGCTGTCCGTTCAAAAAAAATTGCAAAAAAAGCACCCTGTCCACCCAGCTTTCCTCTGTCCTCTGAAGCCTTTGTGTGCAAAAAAAGAATGAAACTTGTTAAAAAGTTGTTATACTCTGAAAATGTTGCTTGGTAGTTATGATCACCATTCACATTTATTGTATAGAAAAACCAATTTGGACATTCTGCTACAAATAACCCTTTTTACATTCTAAGGTTAAAAGAAAACCAAATGGGTTTCAAAAGACATGATAAATGATGACACCATTTTCATTATGAGGTCATTGGTCCAGCATGCACAGTGAGTGCTCTCTAAACATACAGGACTCAGTGGAGAACAGTGCTGCAGGTCTTACCAGTGGTAGTGTGACGCTGTCAAGATATCAGTTCAGTCTTAGTCTGGCCTAATCTTTCATATCTTGTCAGTTCTTCGATAAAAAATGCCAGATGAGAGCATTTCACAGTGAAGCAAATAACATTCAGCGCAGCAGCATCCATCCCATCCCCTCATAACCTTTGGTGTCAGAATGAGCCTTTGAATGTAGATACAGAATCAGTAGCTAACTGAGAGCTGGTGTCATTATGATAACAAGATCTCATGATCAAGACGACCCTACGGCCTCATTTACGTCTTTGTAAAGAGGCGAAGATAGTCCTGTGAACCTGATTAGCTGTATCAGCCTCCAGAGTTGAATTCATAAATTCGTAACGTTCTGCCCTGAATCATCATCTCTGATATCACGTACAGTATACTCACAGGCATTGAATAAGTTCATATCTGAGCATCACATCCACAGTGTTTGTAGGATGAGAGGGAGGGATATGTTCTCCATTCCCATTTAATGCATTTCACACTGTTGTTGCACAGTAAACAGGTCAAGTACACGCACACATGGCAACTCACCTACACAGTCTGTTTTCACTGCACACACACACACACACACCGAGTTGAGGAGTGTGGTGAGAGGCTGCTTAGGCCTGACACACACACACACACACACACACACACACAGCAGGTGAGGACACAGTGGCAAAGCCGGGGTGGGCGGTACAGAAAGGCAGCCTGGCATGAGATGGCTTTGCCCAGCTCAGATCAGGGCTGGACTGGATCCATGAGTGAGAGTGAGGAGAAGAGGATAGTGGATATTCTCATCGTACACCTCCTTTCCCTCTCTCTGCATCTGAAAAACAAGATTCAGTTGTTCAGAAGTAGGAAAAAAAGACTACAGAATCAATAACTGAGTCACACTCACATATATGCATTGTTTCAGAGTATGTACACATCTGACTTAATAGTACTATATAAATAGCCAGGCCAACGCAATGACACTAATTTATAAATTAATAAAACAAAAAAAACACAAAAAAAATCAATTCAAACAATATAATGACTCTTCTATGACAAACATGTTTTTAATTTATTATTTAAATATTTTTATGAGGTATGTCAGAGTTATATTAGAGGCATTTAAAAAAAAAAATTGATATCAGGACAGCTCTGATAACATAATACTCGTACACCTCCTTTCCCTCTCTCTGCATCTGAAAAACAAGATTCAGTTGTTCAGAAGTAGGAAAAAAAGACTACAGAATCAATAACTGAGTCACACTCACATATATGCATTGTTTCAGAGTATGTACACATCTGACTTAATAGTACTATATAAATAGCCAGGCCAACGCAATGACACTAATTTATAAATTAATAAAACAAAAAAAACACAAAAAAAAGCAATTCAAACAATATAATGACTCTTCTATGACAAACATGTTTTTAATTTATTATTTAAATATTTTTATGAGGTATGTCAGTTATATTAGAGGCATTTAAAAAAAAAATATGATATCAGGACAGCTCTGATAACATAATACAAAAAATCCTCATTAAAAGAATTACATTTGTCAATAGAAAACCTTATTAAGTAGTTTGGCATATTTTATTATTATTTATTAGAAATAAAAATATTTTAACAAAATTGCACTGCTTTTCTAATATTGTTCTAAATCAAAGTCATGTGGTGTGACCAACATGCAGAAAAAATAGCAAGTGATATCATAACGAGGAGACCATAATGACAATAAGTCAACAAGTCTCTACAAATAATCAGATAATTTGACTTTTTTATGACACCGCAAGATTAGTTCAAGTAAATGTCATGTGGTGTGACTACATAATAGTTCTATTTTAGCATTATTTATATACTATTACAGTATTTATTAATGTTTAGAATTATATTTTTCCATTTCCAGTTTTCATTTCAAGTTTTAGTAATTTTTATGTTTTGTCAATTTTATGATTTTTTTTATTTCTATTTAGCCTTAATTTACTTTTATTTTAGTTTACTTTTATTTTCAGCTTTTTTTACTTAAAATATTAAAATGTCACCTTACTAACTGAAATAAGTTACACATTCGAAATGAGTTGAAATGAATTTTTTTCATGTAATATTTATATTTATTTTATTCCAGCTTTATTTCAATGACCAAAAACTATTTTTATTAATTTTAGTTTTAGTTACAATAACAACACTACTACCCAAAAAATTTATATGTATGAATTAATAATATATGATAAATTCATTATCCAAAACCTGTAAACATAATTTGAAGAACTAAAAAAGGTATTTAAAAATATGCTTCTATCTTGAGAAATATATTTAAATACTTTTTTGAAAATAATGATTAAGATTTGGGTTGATAGGGTTTGACGCATCAACCCCAATGTTCAAATGACACTTACTCTACTGCTTTCATAACTGTTCTGACAAATTAGAGCAAGAACATTCTATTTCTGCTGCATTTTACTTTAAAAAAAAATAAATAAATAAAAAAATGTGATATGCCCTTCACTATTTGAATGTGCAGTGCAAGAACTCCCTCTAACAAACAAGGACAAGTGGCAAGAATCCTACTAACTGCTTAATAATGGCCCGCTTAGAGTAGAGGTGTCTGCAGAGGGAATGTCAAGCAGCCTTGTGGTACAATATGCCCTATGGGTCTGCTCTTCTGCCACCGTCTGAGCTCCAGAGTTGTGGCAGTACACTGCCAGTCTCTTCTGCCCTGGAGCTCAGCCCTGTCCCAACCAATCAGATCCTCCAAGATCCCACACACTCCGCCAGCACTTAGAAAGAGAAACGTGCAGTTCATTTATAAAAAAATAAGACCCCTCCAAAAAGCAAACACAGCTGACGTGCGTGTAGACATTTAGAATGACAAAAATGTACTGGACACACACGCACGCATGCACGCATGCACGCGCGTACACACGCGCGTACGCACGCGCACACACACACACACACACACACACACACACACAGGTTTGTTTTTATGGTTTATGGGGACTCTCCATAGGCGTAATGGTTTTTATACTGTACAAACCGTATTTTCTATTGCCCTACACCAACCCTACCCCTAAATCTACCCCTTACAGGAAACTTTGTGCTATTTCAGATTTTCAAAAAAACTAATTCTGAATTATTTATACGCCTTTTGAATTACGGGGACACTGAAAATGTCCTCATAAATCACCTTCTCGTTGTAATACCTGTCAAACCCATGTTATTATACAAATTTGTGTCCTCATAAACCACATAAACATGCACACACATGCACGCACACACATGCACACACACACACACACACACACACACACAACTTTCTCACTGGATTTTAATTGTGGGATATTTTATGCAAACGCCATTCCAACAGGACCATCACATACAGAGCACAGCAACTCACCCATCATGCTAAAGTTATATCACTGACATGTGAACCTGAAAGGCCTTTCCAGGCAGAACTTTGAAGGGAAAGTTTTGAACAGTATCACTAAGCATCTAAGCATCCTCCATTGACTACAAACAGAGAGAATAAACCATTGCCAACAAACATAAAATCTGTATGAACACCATTAAGTGATTCCCAAATGGATACACAGGCTCATTCTGTCTTACTCTAACATTCACCTCATCATCTTTGTGGCCTGAGATAAAATTAAAACAGATAAAAGGACGCTCTTTTGCCCTTGATGTGTGTTATCTCTCTCTCTCCACCCCTCGACAGCAGCCAATGTTTGAACCTGTGACCTCTCTGTAAATCGGGGCAGCCAGCCGTTCACACCAATTCACACCAACCCAGACAAGTGAGACTGTAGTGCCTGTACCCTGCAATGTACACATTAAACCGCAGGAAGAATGTGTGTTCAGTCTGAAGAACGCCAGCACAAGGAACAAGTGCACACTGATATATTACTTAAGCGCAAGGAACAAGGGCACACTGATATATTACTTATATACACACAACAATATAAAAATGTACCTGTCATTAAGAGAAATTTACAATTTACCAGACATTGCACGTCATTTTAGTACTACATTAAGTGTGAAAAGGAGTTATATTGAGTTTAATTCACCTCAGGTTTCTACAAAATTGTTTGCAGGTGTAAAAAAAAAGGCATTATTATGATCAAATATCACAAAATAGTTTATAGAAGATAAATACTGTAAAATTACCAAATCACATTTATTTCCTTATTTATTATTACCTTTAGTAATGATGAACTACAATAACAATAATTTTACTTTTATCTATATTTAAATATTAAACAGTGATTTATTCTCATTTTGGGGATTTCAGGTCTGATCAACTATATCGTTTTTGATTCACACACACACATACATGTATACACACACACACACACACACACACACACACGCACACACACAGACGACTGAAGTGCCGACTCCCAACGAACAAATTTTGTCAAGTTAGATGACATGTTGTGCGTCACGTGAACACTGTGTAGGGAGCTTGTTAATTGGAACACAGCTAGAGAGTGTGCACATGGAAGTTAAGTTTGAGGAACAGTGGGAACGAGTGATTGAGAGAGGCCAGTAGGAAAGAGAGAGTATGAGAGGGAGTGCAATAAAAGTGTTAGCGAATGATATAGCAAAGAAGCTTAGAAAGAGAGAGAGGAAAGGGAAAAAGGTGAAAAGTTTAACAAGCAAAGCTGTTCCTCCTGATCACAGCCTGCTAATCAGCTTCATGGGTGGCTGGATAAATCGGCTCCTACTTTTTAATCGCATGGCTGCCAAGATGCAAGTCATTTATTTTATTGCTGCCTTTCCCCCCCCCTCTCCTCGTTCCCCCTCAGCCTGCTTTCTGCGACGAGGAGAGCGAGAGGCATTCTTTAGAAAGCAGGGGATGAAACGGACAACCGGATGCTCGCGCTACAGGCCCCAGAAATGGATAGATTCGGGTGTTAAACGCACCGAGAGCAGATACGGCCAGACAGACAGCTGGAAGTTGGGAGGATGTAGAGAGATTAAGTTAATATGTGTATGTATATGTGTGGGTGTGAACGAGGGATGTCTGAATTAAAATTCATGACTCTCTTCACAACCATTTGAGTAACAAGATTAAGACGGCCGAGTAGAAAATAGCTGCATTATCAGGCGGCTTGCAGTCCTCCAGCTGCTGGTGCTCTATTCCAGAACAGCGGGGATAAGAGGATAACACACAGCCCCCTCGCCACGTCCCCACACCGCTGAGAGTCCCATCCACGGCCAGCCTGCACATGCGGGAGGGAGGGAGGATATTTAGGGTCTTAAAGGAAACACTTCAATCTCCAAGACATCAGAGACTGGCTGGAGGTGAGGAGCGACAGACACCCGTACGTGTAAATCCGGGAGGGGCCCGTAGACGCTGCTATAATAGAAGATTGTGATTTGGAATTCTGAAGGAGGTGGGGCATGTGATCTATTGTCTGCCATGCGTTTCTTTGTGCTCTTCGTTCCTTACGTTCGCACCCAGTGCACACTCACAGGGGGCAGGGTGTTCATCAGAAGATAAGAAAGAGGAATTAATCACTTTGAGATATGATGAGGGCACTTCAGTTCGCCCCTCGTATCACACACACAGCTGCATGAACCGACGACAAACGAGAGTAAAGACGCACACACACGGCCGCGAACAGCGGGACGCTTGACTCAGCTATCTCGGCCCCTCGCTGCTCATGTCATTATCCGCACGGAAAACACAGTAGGTGGTCGGGCTCTAAAAGATCCCGTTAGACTTCAGGTGCATCAGGGCAACACTAAGAAGAGGTGAATGCATTAGCTAGTTTTGTGTGTGTGCAAATGGGCAAGTGTGGCACCGTTTTGACTCATCTGGACAATACTTAAAG